TCATTCTTTGGCACCACATTGTCTCTACAGATGATGCCACCGTCATGAGTCTGTGCTGGACCAATCTTAACAATGCAGCCACCCCTGGTGCTGCCAGGCCCTGCGCCAGGCGCTGGGCCCAAACTTGCCTCCATCCACCACTGCCACTGGAAACAAACCTTGCCTCCGAAGTGCTGGACACCATGTTACTGTCCAAGCTCTCCACAGAAGGTAAGTAAGGTTAAAAGTTTTTAAAAAAGCAGAGAAAGAAGAAAACAAAATTCAAAACGGATGGACTCAAGAGCCTGCATGCTGTGCTGCTACTCCGCCACCATCTTGACCAGATGCATGTAATGTGGGTAACACAGTAAAAATAGGAGACTTCAAAACATATAAAAATTAGGTCAATGAAGTTTGTGCTAATATTGTGGATAATGAATTCCTGAAGTGTGAACAAGATGGATTTCTGTAAAAATATGTTGAGGAGCCACCTAGGGATAACGCTATTTTGGATTTGGTGTCATGTCATGAGAAAGGGCTAATTAATAACCTTGCTGTAAAGGAGCATTTAGGAAATAGTGACCACAATATGAAAGAATTTTATTTGAGGTTTGATTGAGACATGGTTTATTGTGAAACTAGGATCTTAAATTAGAGCAAAGGAACTACCAGGGTGTGAGAAGCAAGCCGGCTACATTGGATAGTAAAATGCACTAAAAGATTTGACTAGCAATGGGTACTATTTAGTGAAATGTAAAGTCACCATAGTTCTACTCTCCCATTAGAGAGAGATGACTGGTGGTAAGTTTCCCCTGAGGGTCACCACATATCAGATGAGGAACAAGGTTGAGATAGCAACAGCTTCATAGTGACCTCAGCCAGTGCAGGAATTGAACCTGCATTAATGGTATTGGTCTACATTAAAAACATCCAGCCAAACAACTAAGCTAACCAACCACCAAGTACTAATACAAGGTCAACAACAGACGTACAAGGTACAAACACCCAAAGGGAGAGATGACATAGCCCTTATTAAATAAATAAATTAATTAAAAATTGCAGTAGATTGAAGGAAGTGGCTTATAAGAATACCAGAAATAGTGATAAATCCAAGAGTTACAATAATTTAGAACACAGCAAATTAGGTCTATGAAACTGAGAAGTAAAGTGAAGAGAGAATATGAATATAAGCTAGCAAGGGACATAAAGGAAGACAGTAAAAGCTTCTATTGAGAAAGATTAGCAAGGAAAGTATACAACCATTACAGATGGAGACAGAATTTATTGTGGAGAACAATGATGGAGAAACTAAATAATTATCTGCATCTGTCTTCACAGAATAAAACACAAAAAGCTCCCAGAAACATGAGACAACCAAGGAACTTGTGTAACTGTATAGCCAGCAGAAATCAGTATCAGTTAAGAAATTGTATTTGAAGAAAATAGTTGGATTAAGGGCTGAAAATTTTCTTGGGCTAGAGCATAACTCATTAGGAGTTAACTTCCTATTTCCAGAGAATCTGAAAGGTCATGCTGACGACAAGGTGGCAAATTTAGCCCCATTACTTATAAAGGGAAGAAGAGAGATCATGTAGAACTACTGACCTTTTAGTCTAATATCAGTAGGAAGAAAAATGTTGGAATCTATTCTCAAGGTTGTAATAATTGAACATTTAGAAAAGAACTGTATATTTGGGCAACATCGATTTATGAAAGGAAACACAAGATTGACAGACCTGTTGGAGGTTTTTGAGGATGTTGCTTGCAGAATAGGCAAAGGAGAACAAGTGGATTTGGTCCATTTGGATTTTCAGAAGGCTTTTGATAAGGTTCCATACAGGAAGTCAGTGAATAAAATAAGAGTGCATGGGATTGGATTGATAATTGGTTACTAGAAAGTAGAAAGTAGGGAAAAAAAATCTCAGACAACAAGGTGCAGGGCTGGATGAACACAGCAGGCCAAGCAGCATCATAGGAGCAGAGAGGCTGACGTTTTGGGCCTAGACCCTTCATCAGAAAAGGGGGAGGGGAAGGGGGTTCCGAAATAAATAGGGAGAGCGTGGGAGGCGGATAGAAGATGGATAGAGGAGAGGATAGGTGGAGAGGAAACAAACAGGTCGAAGAGGCGGGGATGGAGCCAGTAAAGGTGAGTGTAGGTAGGGAGTTAGGAAGGGGATAGGTCAGTCCAGGGAGCACGGACAGGTCAAGGGGGCGGGATGAGGTTGGTCAGTCGGAGATGGAGGTGCGGCTTGAGGTGGGAGGAGGGGATAGGTGGGAGGAAGAACAGGTTAGGGAGGCAGGGACGAGCTGGTTTTGGGATGCGGAAGGGGGAGGGGAGATTTTGAAACTTGTGAAATCCACATTGATACCATTGGGCTGCAGGGTTCCCAAGCGGAATATGAGTTGCTGTTCCTGCAACCTTCGGGTGGCATCGTTGTGGCACTGCAGGAGGCCCAGGATGGACATGTCGTCTGAGGAATGGGAGGGGGAGTTGAAATGGTTCGCGACTGGGAGGTGCAGTTGTTTATTGCGAACCAAGCGTAGGTGTTCTGCAAAGCGGTCCCTGAGCCTCCGCTTGGTTTCCCCGATGTAGAGGAAGCCACACCGGGTAC